CGCGTTTCTTCACAAGCAATGAGTTGATTTTTGAGAGGCCCTTCGCGCTGTGGCGTCCTGGGAATGCCAAAACTTGCATCCTGTGAGGACTTGTTTGAGTATTTTGTGCTTGTGTTAGCTGTGTTGAATTTGAATGTTTGGGACAAATGTTCAACGAGCTTCTCTTTGGGGTTGCACCTTGGTATCGCCTTTATGATCTGACCTGGCACTGGACCCTGCATATGCAAAGAATGATTTTCCTTTTCAAGAACACATGATTTTCCGCCCAGCCAGATTCGACTGCCAGAGTAAGATATTGTGTAACCATTTGCATCGTGTGAATCCAGGTACTGTATTGTAAAGTAGATTGGTATACATTGTATAAGATCATATATATATGTACCGAGAGACCTATATTCCTGTATGTCATAGTTGATGCGTGTGTATGTATGTATATATATATATATGTGTGTGTGTATGTGTACATAATATACTCATGTCACATGGGTATGTATAATAATGTGTGTGCCGTAATGCAATGTCATATCATGCAACTGCATAATTGGGAATTACCCCTATCATACTTCTCAGCTATTTCAACGAGCGCAGTTTTGACCTCAACGGGAACGGCATGATCGAGGAAGACGAGGCCGAAAAAGCCTTTTTAAGGGACATCGAAAGATTGGAATCCCACATCCCACTATAACTTTGTGTTTTGTGGGTTCTCTACATGTATGGACTTGATATTTCCAATTTGCACCTATGCTTCCACTTTGTGCTTTCACTATTGATTCTTGTTGGTTTTGGGTTTGGTTTGGTGATTGGCCATTCCTTTGTTGTGTTGATAAAAGGTCTTCCCCTTCATATTCAACTTCATGCACAAATCTCACCAACACGTACCAGGGAATTCAGTCACAGAACAACAGCATTTTGCCAGGTTCAAACAGGATGGTGCGTAGTTGCGGATGTTGTGGAAGTGATTGGCCATCTTTTTGTTCAGAGACTGGCGGGCCCCAAGACTATCCAACAGTTGATGGTCTCTCTTCAAGCAGGAGAAACTGGCAGGTTTGGGTATTACAGTAATCCTCATGTTTGGGCACACCCGCGTTGATCTTTTCTAATTACACTTGGATCAGGCCAAGCGAATAATCTGGAAGCTCCTGCAACAGAAGAGACAAGAAGCATGGCAGCAATGGACGATGGGTTTGCATCTTCGCAGCATGATGGGCCATTGTCAGCCAAGCTGAGCTTTGCTGGGTTTTGGTTTCTAGCATGATTTGACCACCTCATGCCAGAAGACTCGCAGCAGGCATTGGAAGGTTGGCTTGCTTGAGTCGCACCAGGGATAGGCCCAGAAGCTTACTAAAAGCATCTATATGAAAGATTATAAAATTATAAAATATAAAAGTTAGTTTTCCACTGGCTTAGCAGCTTGCCTGGCTGTTGTCACAGCCGTTTCATGCCGTTTCTGCCCTTCTTGGCTCAGACTCTCCCCTTATGTTCCTCGTTTGACAGCTAAATTTCATACCCCGTGAGGGTTCCACCAATGCTGTCGATCGTTTTTTCGAGGGCTAGAGTTCAGGGAGAGCTGTTATCAGAGACCTTCACCTGCGCCCAGCGAACGGGGGAGCCCATTGAGGAGGATGTGGAGGCAAGGAAGTTTTGCACTGTTTTGCCAACAGCTGAAAACAACTGCACCATATGCCAGTTGTTTGTGATGCTGTGGTGTTTGTTGAAGGTCTCCATTGGTTTCCACCCTTTTTCAGCTCTCATTAATCATAATTATCAATCCAGGCTCCCTACGTTTGCTGGAAAAAGTCCGCATTTGGCACGGCTTTGGCGGTGGAAACTTCTAAGCGTTCGAGGCCAAGACTGTTCAGCGAGAAGGAGAGAGGGGGAGAGAGCGAGAGAGAGAGAGAGAGGGAGCGGGAGCGGGAGCGGGAGCGGGAGCGGGAGCGGGAGCAGCATCGTGTATATCCTATATCCACGTATTATCCACGTATATCCCTGCCCCATGCCATCTTAGTCCGAAAAACGGTGAGCACCCCTCTATTAGTACCATTCATTGTAATCATAGCGCAGTCATAGCATATGGCCATTGTCCAAGTTTGTCCAAGGTCGCATCAGGCCCAAAATACCCAAGCGGGCGGCTCGTGACGAAGTCGGCGCCTCTCCAAGGTGGCAGGCCTTGGATTGCGGCGTTCAATATGTTGTTAGGGTTACTCGGTTACTCGATATTATGAAAGTGAATAGGTCAATGAAGGGTCTTATATAGTTGAGGATAGTTGAGGTCTATCTATTCAGCTTCTGATTCTGAAGTTGTGCTGGTTTGTTTGAACATCCTCCACTGCTTTAATGATTCCTAGCTTCCAGGCATGTCTTGCCATGTGTCACTTAGTAAAAAGATGTAAAAAGTGGATTGTTGCATTTATGTCGAGAAAGCAAGTGGATAGACGTCCCCAATTGCAATTGTTACATCCATGAACTGAAGATCATCAGCAACGATCAGGCTCCAGTGCTGGGTCACACCATCTTGCTGCTGACCGGTTTCTGTAGCTGGGCCATGAGCGGCGCGGCCAATGAGGCCGAGCCACCGATGAGAGGGACATGACCTGAATCGAGGTTGACTTGATCATGTCCCATCAGTTCCAGCAAAGCGGGCTTCAACACCAAGAATGCCACTATCTGGAGCTTATTTGATTTTATTGCAGCATAACTAGGATGATTATGACGCGGCGAGCCCCACATGAATCCCACGTTTGATGTGATCAGCTCTTTGCGCTTTTGGATCTTTTGGATCCTTTTGAGTTTTAACAGTTTTTGCCTTTTGAGTTGAGAGATTTGATTGGCCACTGGCCTTCTATTTCCGCAGCTGCTGCGGGACTTCCAGGTGAATCCAGCACAGGTTGGCTTGGCCTCTCGGCACGTTTTAGATGTTTTAGGGTTTGGATGTTCTGGAGATATATTGTGCCCCCAGGCCATTGTGATATTAAAGGCAATGGCACATCAATCACTACTCATGTTGGCCCTTCTGAAGCTCAGGCAGCCACATCGTTCACCTTGGGCAATGCTTGTGGCCTTGTTTTGGGTGGCGGCGCTCGGATGGGACGCAGGCAGATGGTGCTCACAGGACTGGTGGTGGCGATTGGCTCCTCGCTCCTGCTGTTGGTTGCATCAAGGCGATGGATGTCACGACGGTCACGATGGCTAAAAAATGCTAAAAATATCTAAAAATCTAAAGACAACACGGTCAAATGGCCTGGCCGTGCAAACATGATGAGATTACAGCTGACCATGCTGACCGAATCCAAACACCGGACTTGTTCAATCTGTTCAAATAAACTCAAGTATAAAGAGGTACAGTGCAAAGATAAGTTTGCGCAGGTTTGAGACGCTGCTGTTGGCGCGCACTTGCCTTGGTCTGGCGGCCGGACTTTTCACTATCGCAGTACCTGCATTGCTTGCTGAAGGCCTTCCAAAGACGAAGGCAGAGGCCAGGTGCACGGGGAGATGCTTTCAGATGTTTGCAACATGCCATTTCATTGGAAGGCCCAAGCTTTGGAGTTGGGATTGAAGACTTGAGATGCACATAATCACATTTGATTACTCAATGATACATCATGAATCATAAATGATAATATATGAGAGACATGTGATACGCCAGATGCTTCAAGTTTGGGAGGACAACCACTGCAATTGACCTGTCTAGCAGCGGGTCGACTGAAAAGAACTAGTAACTAGGGTCTGACTTGACTTGGAACGCCACTGTTTTGCACGCGGTTGTTTGTGTGTGTGTGTTTATGTGCTTTTGTGCAAGGCCTATTTGGCAACCTATCCTTCGGGCTGGCCTATCGGAGCGTTTGCCACTTGGCATCGGGATAGACGGATAGACTAGTTTCAACTTTGGATTAAGTACAATTGGTTTACGTCAATTTGCCCATGCTTTCAGATAGATTCAGATAGCACATGCAGTATGGCACAGGACCCCAAGTGGAGAGCCGGGAACTGTCAATTTTGATTTTGAGGCGAAGTAAAGTATCAAGGTGTGGCCATTGTGTGGCATGTGGCAGCTCAGAGCTTGTTTCACTCATGTGTTTCATGGTGCGCGTCAGCTTCTCAATGTGTTGTGACTTTTGAGGTGCGACTGTAGTTAAATCGCAATCCAAATGCTACATGTTTATAACTGTTTATACATGTTTAATCATGTTCAGACCTGTTTGATGAGGTTGCAATCTTGACGGCTGGGAACCATTGGCGATGGGCCTTGGGCGTTGGTCCGTTGATCGCCAGCTTGATACTGCTCCCATGTCTTCTTTGGCTACCAGAATCACCACAGCCTCTTGGACACAGCATGACACAGCATGACACAGCGTATTTACATCTATATATTTAATTACTGTTCCTATTTGATTTTTATTTGATCGGTTTTGATAGCTGATACCATTGATACCTAGCTGTTAGGCATAGGTTGTGAGTCCCATCAGCACATCTTTTGCATTCCAACAATAGCTTGACCACTTCATTTGCTGAGCCTCAAAATCTCTCATCCAGGGTTACCACCAAGGTATTTGCTCCTGCAACTGGGCTGGAAAGTGGGAGAGGCTCATGTATTTAAATCGATTAATTGTACAATCAGTTGATATCAATTGATATTCTCTAAATTATCTACTGTATTAGATAGATAGATAGATAGATTAGATTAGATTAGATTAGATTTGACACTTTCTGCCCAGCCTGCTGAGGTACTGGATAAATTTGATTAATTTCTGGAAATTCGTCAAAATTCGAGAAAAGCAACGCAAAAAGTTTGAAAATAGCAGCAAAACAGCTAGTTTTCATTCATTTTTGAATCGCTGGCAGCAGAAAATCTCTGGATTCACAAATTTTTCAGAAAATTTTCGGATTTTTTTCAGAAATTTCTGAAAAAATTCTGAAAATTTCTGAAAAAATTCTGAAACATTTCTGAAAAATTTCTGAAATGCGTCAAAATTCGAGAAAAGCAACGCAAAAAAGTTTGAAAATAGCAGCAAAACAGCTTGAAAACAGCAGCAAAACAACCAGCTTTCATTCATTTTTGAATGGCTGGCAGCAGAAAATCTCTGGATTCACAATTTTTTCAGAATTTTTTCAGAAATTTGATTCAGAATTTTTTCAGAAAATTTTCAGGAAAAAAAAACAAAACCTTGATTTATAGAACCTTACTAGACTGGAAACTCTCAAGATTAGATTAGATTAGATTAGATTAGATAGATAGATATGATAGATATGTTATATATGTATATATATGATATATATGATATATATATATATGATATATATGTATATATATGATATATATGATATATATGATATATATGATATATATATATATATGTGTGTGTGATATATATGATATATATGTATAAATATATATATATACATGGGGAATTCATAGGGGATCTTCTTGTCTGCCTACAGAGGCCTTAGACAGGAATTTGTACATACATTGGCTTGTGTGATTTAAAAGATCTTGAAAATAAATGGCTTCTCCATAGCAATGCCACGGCTTCGCCTTGATAGGAATTATGTACCCGTAGGCATTATGAAGGCATGGCGGTGTGCAGATGGCTGGTCCAAGGAAGGGGCGTCGCAAAGAAGCTGAACGAGCTTTGAAGAAGCTGGGCACCAAGGAGGCAGGGCAGCTTCAGCCTTCGGATGCCTTTAGTGCATCTCAGCTGGTCTCCCCAGACATTTTTGCAGGAGCAAATCGTGCACGCGGATACAGGGAGCGCACCGACAGGATCGCCCACAGGGGCAGGTATCCCATTCAAAAGGCGCGTGCACCAGAAAGAGACGTGTCAAGCGTGCGTCCAAGTAGCATCCACTTTGAGAACAAGTTTCAAGTTCTGCCTGGACTCAGAAAGCTAGCAAAAGAATGCAAAAGAGAGAATGATTTTGAACATGTTTGAACCATGCCTAGCCTGACATCCTGCCCTCTTTCCAGATCAGCCAGGCTGGCCGCCACATTGATGTGTCGGCATGCAGCTTCCATCATCGTGAAGATGTGGCTGCCAGTCTATTTGGGAACCCACGGGCAGGTTGGTTCAGCAGTGGCTGCCATGCTTTTGATGTACCTGCTGGAAGAGACTTGGCTGAAAGCATCCACATTTCAAACAGCCTGGGGAAAAAAAAAACTCCACCTTTTGATCATCTACTTGGGCGGAGGCCAATAGTCAGGGATATTTATTGTGGGGACACACCCTTAGTGTGACCGGAACTTCTCATTCCTTTGGGTTCCTTTCAGTCTTGGATTTCAGCAGGGTGTTTTCCACAGGATCAGTTGGCATTAATTTGGTTCGATAAATAATGATAGAGAGCTAGAAGAGAGAGTGAGAGAGGGCGCTGAGGGAGAGAGAGTCAGAGAGTCAGAGAGAAAGAGAGAGAGAGAGAGAGTCACAGAGAGAGAGAGAGAGAGGAGAGTCAGAGAGTCACAGAGAGAGAGAGAGAGACAGACAGACAGACAGACAGATAGATAGATAGATAGATAGAGTGCGACAGATGGAAAAAGGAAAAAAGAGGCAAGGTTGTAGATAGGCAGACTCAGACCACCTGAATATGGATGAATGACGAATGGAAATTGCAGGTTTAGCCATGCTTAGCCATACTGTGTACATACGAATGATCAACGTTGCTCTATAACACCCGCTGCTTTTGCAATTGGGACTTTGATTTTGACATTTTTTGACCATCGACTTCCCGAAACAAAACATGGGACCTGCCTGGGGACCTGAAATCCACAAGAAACTGCTGTGCCATGCTGTCTCCACACGGCGTCAAGGCCTTGGGTATCCTCGTTACGGGCCGCCTTGTGGCTGGGGGTGGCAATGACGTGTTGGCCAACGGGGCACGCTGGAGCTTGATCGCAGGCCGGGTAGTTCGGATGATTTTGGATGTGCAGCTCCGAAGCGTTCAGATTGGTTGACCCATGTTGACCCTTGAAATAGGAGGATGATATTTTATATATATAATTATATATACATATATATATATATTGTTGTTGTTTTATTACATATCATTAACATTATATATCATACTTAAGCAATATCATACTTATATGAAAAATCTGGAAACACCCAAATTTGTTCGTGCTTTGGTATTTCATTTTGGAACAATACCATTGTCCCGTTTCTCTAAAGTGAATGGAAGGACCAAGCAGAGAACCTAGACATTCGCAGCAAAATTGCATCAACTTGGCAGGTGTTGTCGCAACTTTGGGCTGCCTTTTTTGCCAAGGCAGAAGGGCTGCCAAGCTGGTGTGTTTATACACGTCTTTCACTGAAAACTTACCATTCCTGCCCATTGGATGGTTTGACCAAAGCATAAGACATGATCCAGGGTCATCCACGTCCGTATTATATCATATGATGGTGTGCTGTACTACACCGATACCATCATGCTCAATTGACCTCGACATTCCTGCAGTGCAACTGCAGCAAATCCCTTGCTTTGACTCGCTCCAGGCAGTGTGTTGGCAGCTGGTTTGCTAGGCGCCACCCACTTGATAGCTTAAGCAAATGCTTCGAATCTCCTGAACCTTGGGTTTTTGCTTGTGTCAAGAGGCTAGAGGCATCAAATTTAAGGTCCTTGACTCTTGACTCTTGATAAAGAAATGGAGGTAGGCTCAGGACAGTGGGTAAAAGGCTGTCGGGACGAACAATGTGCAATTCTACAGGTTTTGCGAAGAGTTTTCCCACAGCTGTGGCATCACATGTTCGCTAAGGATGGCGTACGCAACATGCAATTGCAGCACTGCAGCTCGAAACCAGACTTTGTCCCGTTTGAACTTCCTGAGTTGCTCGGACTATCTTGGACTCCAAAGGGACTTCAGCCTCCCCATGTAGCTCTTGAGCAAATGCTCACAGGTGTTGTGCCAGAGAGAGAGAGAGAGAGAGAGAAGGAGAGCACACGCAAAGAGATGTCTTTTGTTTCATCATGTTTCTGGGTGCACCTATTATTGATATTTGATTTGATGACTTGCGCCAGGTTTTTTGAGCGGGAGTACCTTGGCGGAAGTGAGATCCATGAAACGTGGAAAAGACTCCCTTGCCAAAAAGATGGCGAATGTAGTGAGTTGGTGACTGAAGGACTACTGGCAGGGGATTCGAGTCTTATTTGGGGCGCGCTTGCTTGAAGAAGGGTTGCAAGGGAAAGATGTTCACAAAATGCATTTCGCTCCGAAAGTAACTACTGTACATGACTACTACATGATACATGTGGATACATGTGGGCCGACCCAGAGAACCACAAATGTTTATTATTTCAATATTATTTCGGCTACGGATTTTTGGCTCAAGCCGTTTTGGGTCAAACCACCTTTGCAAGGACAAGCATAGACTTCGCTCCCATGAATTCTCCGGCGAAATCCCGCATTGATGTTGCGGAATCACCCAGCCCAATTTTGGAGCCGGCGAATAGCCCAACGGTGACCCCCCCCCTCGCAAGAAAGCAAAAGGGGATGAACTCGCAATTGGCGACATGCTAGGAAATGCGCTTGCTGCCCCAAGTGATGCAGGCACCCACCATTTAATTCAGATGACCCATGCCCTAGTACAACGAGTGGAGCACAACATTGGCCAAAAACTTGACATGATCCAAGCTCAGCAGAAAACACTCACAGAAACAGTGGGTCTGCACACTGCCCAACTGGCCTCCAACTCTGAGGACATTGCCTCCATCAATGCTCGAGTCCAGACCTTGGAAAATGATCCCAAAACCTCGCCTCACATAGAGAAACTTGAGATTGAAATGAACAACCTGGCCCAGAGATGCAGGAGTTCTCACGCCAACGTGTGTCCTCTGCACCCCCTTCCTCCCGGGCCCCCCTCCCCCCAAGGGACTCCTCCAGAGCAAGCACTTTGTCTCCCACCCGCCCACGTGCCACTGTGCCTGCCGCACATGCAGCATCCGTGGACCTGGAGGTAGATTGGAACAGGCTTTGGCTCAAGCCATTTTGGCTCAAGCCATTTGGCTCAAGCCATTCTGGCTCAGGGGCTCAAGCCAACCCCTCCCCTGCCCCCTTCACCCACAACCCCCTGCGGTGACCCCCCCCGGCTCGCGGCCCCGAGCGCGCCATCACTTTCAAGGCTGCCTCGGGCCCCAATCCCAAGCGAGGCGCGCCGCCCCCTTTAAAGGCGAGCCCGCCCCGTACCCTTTCGTTGTCCCCCCCGAAGCCCCATTCCCACCCGGCTGAAACCCTTTTCCACCCCCAACCCCCCTTCACCCACAACCCCCTGCGGTGACCCCCCCCGTGGCAGGGAATAATTGGTATAATGTGATTCTCCTGTTTTCGCACTTGTAGCAAGCTGTTGTACTTGTAACAAACAGTGTCATCTGGTCAACATGTCCTATCTTGATCTTGTGTTATTGCCATCAATTCTAGTACACTGCTAAATCTTTTACAAATAACATGATTGCTTTTAACATAGGTTCAAATCTCGTCAGCATAGGTACTACAATCTTATTACTAACGCCAGAAAACAATTTCATAAACAAAACTGGCTAGCGTGAGTGTCGCAGACAGCAAATCATAGCCTCTTTTTGGCAAAGCACAAGCCGTAGGTGCGTGCAACACTGAAACTTCAAGATGTCAGTGAGCACACAAAGAGTTGCCCTTGCCCTCGCAAGGTAGTAAGGAATCCAAAGACCCCTTGTTTCGAGGCAACCAGGCACCTTTCTCATTGCATTGAATGCTGAATTAAAACGATGGCAAGTCAAAATGGAATTTCATGGGAAATGAAGGAATTATGTTGTATGGAGGCAATACTTTAAAGCCTTAAACTTCGCAAGAAATCCATCAACAGTTGGTTACATGAAAGGAAACCTGCTATGCTACTCAAATTCGCAATCGCCGGGGCCGAAAAAGAATCGTGACGCAAGCGGATGCCGCCGTAGGTGCGTGCAACACTGAAACTTCAAGATGTCAGTGAGCACACAAAGAGTTGCCCTTGCCCTCGCAAGGTAGTAAGGAATCCAAAGACCCCTTGTTTCGAGGCAACCAGGCACCTTTCTCATTGCATTGAATGCTGATTTAAAACGATTGCAAGTCAAAATGGAATTTCATGGGAAATGAAGGAATTATGTTGTATGGAGGCAATACTTTAAAGCCTTAAACTTCGCAAGAAATCCATCAACAGATGTTCACATGAAAGGAAACCTGCTATGCTATTCAAATTCGCAATCGCCGGGGCCGAAAAAATTCGTGACGCAAGCGGATGCCGCTGAAGCCTCTGCGAAAGTCACCCGAACTAGGTACGGATCTTCCTGCTCCACAAACCATCGAGAAACATTTCCTGGGCTGGAATGCAAGACACAGGTCAGGACACAACCCACGCCACATCATTGTTCATCGGCATGTGAGATGCATGGCAAATACACGCATACACGCGCAACAACATATAACTAGTATCTACCTTTCTCTTGTGTCCCTCCTAATTGTAAGCAGGAGAAATTGGCACCTACGAAATAAAATATGGCAGTGTTCTCTGACGGCCTGCAGGGAGATCACCTGATTGAACTAACACGAAGAAAAAAACTTGTTTTGCACCTTGATTGCAGCGTGCCAAACGTTGGAAACAGATTGACACAGAACCGTCTAGCGTGCATATTGTATTTCTATGGCTCCGGATAGTGATGACGCCCGGTCCCTTTGCAACCCTGTTGCTAAAACGCCGGGTGGCCGTATGCTTCGGTCACCATCACCTTCAAATAATCACGATCTTCTTCCGGTACTCCACGGATGACCACACGTTTCTCGGCACGTGGCTGGATATTGCGTCATGAAAATTATTGGGCTAGCACCGGCAGTTGAAAAAATCCGAATTTTGACTGTGCTGTAATCAAATTTTGCTGAAGGGTCTGCTCTGACAATGTTTGTTTGCAAAACTCGACATCCCACAGCAGTTCGGGTCTCCAAGCCTTTGCTTTGTCTTCAGATCTGGCCTTGGGGTGCGACCCATGGGAATGTGAAAAATCAAATTGGCGACAATGCTACCAATTCCGTGTTGTAGCTGATCTGCCAGACTGGCCACTGAAATTGCTGAATGTTCGTCAATCTCTCCAACAAATGGTTTAAGACAGACATAAGTTTCTATCATTCTGTATTATCCGTTCTCATTGGGTTTACTTTCACATCATTATCCAAATGCTTAAGTGGCTCCATACCCACTATACACATCTTGCTTTCATACACTAGTCGCAACCCTATACATAACCCTTGGAGATTCCATGTCCCATTTTAGTAAAACAGTACGATCAAAAGCCATCATCCCATGGTATGTCATTAGTCATGAGTGCTTCTCTGCGTTGCCCGAGAATATTCCATTGCAATGTTTACCATCATCATCAATTTAACGACCATGATTAACAAGTATTAATTAATTAGCCAGCATTCGAAAACAGCTTTTACGATTACAAGTAGAGCTGCGCCACGCGGGAGCGGAAGTTTCCAAATATAAGCACCCTCGGACATTCGTCGCAAGTCACGCGTACGTGTGGCACCCGTGCCAATGCCGACGAGTGTTTCGTGAGCGTGAGGATCGTGGCAGAAAATAAATTAAGTGCAGGCACCCGCAACGAAGAGAGACGCGAGGAAAAAGCAAACTGGGACGCCAAATCTACCTGTAGCTTGGAAACGAAAAAAAGTTTCCTTGTGCGGGAACATGGCTGGCAGCTCTTTGTTTGTTCAATTTTGGACAAGCTTTCCTTCGGGAATTATTTTGCTTTTCCATTGACATTCCTTTCCATTGACAGCTTGCATCTCACATCTCTTTCCCTTGGCAGTCCAGTGCTTCTCAGTACCTTTTTCCATTCCCGTTTTTTCGAGATCTTTCTACGCCGTACAAACCATCTGTGTTTTCCTTTATATCAACAAGTGCTTTCCTCAAGTGCTTCCCCCCGAGCTCACCTCTATCCGTGCCTCTATATCCAGCTTTGACATTCTCTTGGCAGGAACCTGCGACATTTGGGCAGCTTCTCAAGGAACCGGAACTGAAGATCAAACATGCTGCTTGTCCTGCAGCGTTGTAGCAAGGCCCAAAGTGCGACACTTTTGCGCCCAAAGTTTTTGCCTATATCTCACAAGCTTCTGCGTCGCATTTAGCTTTTGCCTGTGACGCTGTTGGGCGACTATGCACGCCAGCCCTTCGGATGCCTTTCGATCTTGTGAGATTGAATGGGGTCTTATGCCCCTTGGCAGCTGGTCGTTTACATAGAACAGCAGGCTTTTTAGCTAAAAACCGCTTTAAGCGGCTTGCTTCACCTTGCCTTGTCTTCTCTACAGGTAATTGCGCCTTCTCAGAGCTTCGATGTGCCCATGCATTCCACTCATCCTTCGACCACAAGCCGTTGCCAATCCTCCTAGCCAACACCTGGCTGCTCATCATCTGTCTTGCTGCTGGTGAATAAAGAGCTGCGTTGTGCGATAAGAGTTTGGATAGAGTCAAAATACCCAGCTTCAATTTCAGGGTACTTTGGTGAATGCTTTGCGTCTGCCGGAACCACCCATTGATTTCA